ATTATTATTATTATTATTATTATTATTATTATTATTATTATTATTTAGTATTAATCAATTCTAGAATCTCCAGAAATAACCGCACCAACTGTCGCCAACTTCATGACTTTGTGCTAGATATTTGAATTTATACAACTTTCATATATTAAAAAAATGAAAAAAATTGTAGGTAGAAAATACGTGGAGGCCTATAGACTGCCCACATGCAGCTAAACGTAGAGATTTCGTAACATTTCATTATAAAGCTTTTACTGAAGCTAATAAAAAATGTGATCAGTCATATGGACGTGAGCCTATCCGAATACAACTTGGCGTAGGTATGGTAATTCCTGGATTAGATAAGGGTATGCGTGGGATGTGTGACACCGAACTTAGAAAAATTCAAATTCCATATCGGTTAAGCCGAAAGAAAAAAAGTCGAGGTTTGCTCATCGTTCAATTTCTCTAATTTATTTTGATTTTAAGTAAAAAATTTTCAAAAATTCTCAATTTACATAAATTTCGCAAATAATTTTTTGCAAAAGCAATGTTTTTAAAATTGTTCCTTGACGAATATACTGTGGTCTTATGAATTCTCAAAATATTCGAAACTTTTTTTTTGAAGAAAAATGAACTTTGCAAAAGAACAATTGTTAAAGCGATGAATGAATATGAATAAGGTAGAAAACATTTTGATAAAAGCAATAAACTGCTTTTACTACTGATAAAACTTTGCAAAAGAACAATTAATTTAAAGAGCATTAAAATAATTTTAGGTCTTACACTGAACTTTCTGTTGCCAATAATATATCTATTATTCATTTTTCTTATTCTTATTCCTCTACTTAATTATGGTAAGATTTCGTATGTCAAAATATTTATACTTTTACTCATTTTCATAATTTTTCTCATTTTATTGCTCTTTAAAACTCAACATTATACTAAATTGAAAAAACTTAGCAGTAACTTAAAAGAGAGAAAGACTCGTAAAGAATCTAGTAATAATCATTTAAATTATGCCTTAGCAGTTTAAGTATGCGATGGATTGAACTAAAAAGTTTGTGATTCATTAAGTATGGAAAAACATCCCGAACGATGAGCACTGGCTTACTTTTAACATCGAGATGATGTCAGTTGAGCCTTGGTCTACTGAATTACAATTCAAATTTTTGGACATAAACAATGATTCAGCGCTTACAGAAAATGAGGTGTTTGCATGAATTTATTACCAAATGTATGAAGTTCAAACATTTGAAAGATTCCAATTCACACAGACTTACGTCACTAACTTTACTATTCAATAACTTAACAATATTTAAAACAATTCCTAATTCATTGAGATGTTCGTTCAATAGCGTTTAAAACTTTTTATACCTTCGTTATATTTCTGATTAATGAATTAATGCCAAATAATACATAAAATATATAATATTGAATATCATTTAAAAACAAAATTGCTACAATGTTTCAGCTTGTCAAATTTCAAGAAAATTTGAAGAAAAACTTTGGAAAAACGTGGAGTAATGAAGATATTGACCTAGTACATGCCGCTAAGTACTATATCAGGTGAAAATCTTTCAAATTTTCATCTGCGCACAGCAAATGCAAAGCTTTACATTCCTGTAAAAGTTCCATCTACAAATTTCATGCACTAAGAGAACTGGTGTAAACGCAAAGCATTTAATCTTTTTTTGCTTAAAACATTAAGGTATTTTGATGTTGACGGTAATGGACGAATTAATTTACAAGAATTTAAACAAGTCATGCAACGAGATCTAGCAGTGATGGATGCATTAGGAGGTAAGCAAAAAGAAAAAGGTCGAAAACGTGATCCATCAATCGCTTGGATTTTAGACTTCAACAATGATGGTGTTGTTTCGTTACAGGTGCGTCAATCTGGCTGATATTTTTTTTCTGCATTAATTAAATAATAAAGAATGTAGTGAAAGTATGAAAAAATCCGCAATAATTGTATCAACTTTGATTCCTTATTACAGGAAAACGATCGCGCTGACAAAATATTACAACATCCGCCAACAATCTTACCCATATTTTCAAAAGACGAGCTTTAGGACTTCGGAGCTGGAATTTTCTCACCATTCTCAAGTGCGACTAGAAAATGCAACAAATTTCTAGCTCTATATGCTTAAATTAAAGACCAACTGGGTAAAATATATATCTATCCAGTAATTGCAAGGAACTAAGAGGACCCGTAATCACATTTAAATATAGCACTGTGTGACTTATTTTTCATGTTGTAGTTCAATATGCTTATTTATCTAATCAAATAATGTGCTTATCATTTTATAGTTCTCTCAACACTACTAGATGTACTTTTTGGTCTTTTATACCGCAAAAAAGTTTGTATAAAAATGAGCTCCAATGTAAAAAATTATGTACCATCATATATTATTTTATTCATTACCACCAACAACAAATCTTTCGCGATATATAGTGCACATAAATTAAGACTCCATTTAAAATCCGCATAAGTGACACCTATCTACAGTCATCACACTTGGCCCAATTTTCATGAATTTACAGCCGCTAAAAGAGGGATCAAAAAGTAATATCAGCATCACTGAACATTAATCAGCAAAAGAGTATTCGCAACAGATTAATGCTAGCTTCAAGCATCACATCCACAATATATGCGAGGAGTAATAGTGAAGAAAAGTTGCAATAGTAATAGCTACTCACAAAATTTTTACTAGAAAAAAAAAAAATCGCAACTTGTATATTTGTGCAGCGATATGCAATGACAGATTAATGAAACTTCTCAGCATTATGTGCAGTGAACATCACAATTATTTTTATCACTGAAGTAATTCTTCCAGTATACATACGATACAATACTAGGCGGAAAATTATTTCAGCTATAAATCTACCCCAAAAAGTTGAATAACTTTTTGCACCATGAAATATAAAAAGGAAGCTTGTTAAGGAATTGTTAGCAAAAGTAAACTAAAACAGTTGTTACTACCATCAACAAGAAACAACAATATCTTCAATGTCAATTTTAACAACTTAAACAGAACATTTCAGTGACTTATCACAATACAATAAAGTAAAAAAAAAGTTATTCAAGTATAGGGTCTCATTTGTCAATTCATTAATATATAATTCCGAAAGCGAAACTTGGGTAAAAAAAGAGAAAAATTATCGAAATAGGTACCCCTCAAGAAAATAAACTGCTCACCGCAAGCTTCCGCTAATTCAATAATCGAAGCATGTTCTTCGAGAAAAGTCAAAAACGTGTCCATGTTTTTGGCACAATTAAAAAATTCATCAACTAAATCGTCAGCCTGTAATTACAAATTTAGCATTTTCAATATTACAAAATTCTATATAACTTACAGATCTCTTTCCGCAACTTATATATTTGCTGAAATTTGCAATAAAACTTTTTCACCAAACATGTGATCTTTCTGGAACTGTGAACTAAAAAACTGTTCCGCATCAGAAATTTCATTTTTTCTCTAACTACAAAAAACTTTCTGACATGAAAAAATTTATCATCTGAAAGGATGAAAATTTGTTTTACAAGAAACTGTAATCATTATACCTGAACTACAATTTACCAATTAACAATACTTTTCTAGTACTTAATGTGTTCGAAATATGACATGAAATTTGAAATTTTAGAAATAAAATCATCATTTTTACCACGATGAATCTCTGTAGCATATTAACAGTGATTTCCTTCTCAGATTTTGTATTTATATAATGAAGAAATTTTAGCAGCTGTGTACGATAGAAAGTATTTCTCATTTTGACCCATCCTCCTGATATTTCGTAAAGATGAGTTCGAATTGTAACAAAGTTAACCATATAAGAATAATATGAAAAAGTATCTCTGAAAAATGATTGTCTACAATTAAAATAATACGATTACATTTTAAAGGTTTGACATCTAGTATCAAAACTGATGACTACTGAAAGGAAATGTGGCCTCAATATCGTACAAAAATTTGACGACTAATGTTGGTTACTTATCCTTATAGCTCATTATACATGCGGTGAAAAAAGCAAATAGGGTATTTAAAAAAAAAAAAAACTTTCCCACATTCAAAGCAATACCACAGTACTACACCATAAGTATATAGGAATAAAGATAAATTAAAGAGAACATTACCCATTAATTAGTTTGTCGAACATCTGTTTAAATGTTTTAGGACCATCTCGCAAACATTTATCAATATCATTAATTTTTTTAATCTCATCGTTAATAACAAGGTTACAAAATTTCATTTGAACTGAATCTAAGCCATTCACCATTTTAGTCTTGCAATTTTCGATAGCTGATTCAATTTCGAATTTTCCGCTAACTGACTTTACCACGGACTGCAATTCATTATCGACGTCATTTCACTATAAGATTCCGATTTTGTTAAATTGTATTTTACCTCATTCATTTGTGAAATCTCACTGTTTATTTGCACCACCCTTAAGTGAATAAATGAAGAATCTGGGAATGATGAAGATTCATCTTTCTCATCTGAAAAAATCTTTCTAAAAGCATTCTAAAATTATGCAAATAACGAGCCTGGGACTAAATATTAGAAAGTAATGAGCAATAAAAGTGTGAAACCTTGACAGACTGATTTAAACTTAGCAAGCGAACCGTCTATTTTTTCTGTTTTTGTTACTCTCCATATGTCATGATGATCATCAAGGGGAAGGATTCGAGAAGCACTCCACGAATGAGCACCCTCATACACACGATAAGCCTGGACTTTCACCTATGAAGAAAACTGCTTAAGTGCTGCCAAAACAATCAAAATAGTACTACTCTTTCATTTCAAGTTTCTTAAATCATGGCACAAAATAAATACTGAAGAATAAATGATTCCACGTATTTTTTAAAGTTATATCTTCGCATTAAAGAGTCGAAAATAAAGTATAAGCTAAAAGTATAAGTACAAATATTATTAGGGAAAATACAGAAGCTATTCCAGAGCTTTAATTTTTTTTTCTCATAAATAAAATAGGATATTTGATTTCAATAAATTACTTCACTTACCAGAGACCCTAGAGGAAATTTGGCAGCCAAATTAAATTCACCTGATACATTCTTACTCAAGCCACATATCACTTCTCCTTTCCAAGCTCCATGAACGATTTCAATCTTGATATACTGCATATTCCTTAACTTACTGATAATTCTACCCACACCAGTTATCACAATACTTTTATCGTACCTGAAAAACCTGATTTTGGAAGTGAAGTTCACGGATGTACTAAGTCGCTCCACAAGTTATGAACATAAATACTCAATATAAAAGAGGCAAAAATAAAATTAACCCTAAGATCATCCTTTTGCACAAATCTTATAGTTGAATAACTTTAATACTTTAATTTAAAATAGCAAATACAACTATATGTAAGTATTCATTTCTGTCTGAATAAGAATTGAAATGAACTTTAGGGTCTTTGTATTAAATGATAGAGCTTTGCATTCCCACGCAGATGGTACGCTGAAGCATAACGGATTGAGCGAAACGGTACTGTCTGGATGTACGATAAAAAAGTTCTTGTGTCTCTTGAAAAACTTTCGCGTTCCTTCAATATTTATGTACTGCTTAAGGAAAGCCTGTAAATATTTCACTTTTCATAGCTGTTATTTAGAATCAGAACTTTTCTTTATTACAATATAGAGCTAGAGCCTAATTTCTATATCTTACAAACCACTTGTAATAATGCAACAGTAATTGTACTATTTCTGATACGGATATTCCAGTTCCAAAAGTTATTAAGCTTCGCAATAACACAAAAGCAATTCATCAAGTAATTCTCTGATATATTAGGAAACAAACAGAAAAATACAGAAACTAACTGAATCAAATCGGTCGATTTCATGAGATACAAAATTCCTATTAAGTTTTTTATCAGTGGCATGATGCAGTGAATTGATCAAGTTTACAAACATCAGACGAAATTCTGGCGGGCGATTCCGAACTAAATCGAATGAAACATCGTACACATTTGAATGTGAGTCAAGAAATGTCTTCAAATCATTCAGGCGTTCAAAATTTTTTCCCTTAAATACATGCTTAACCAATTAAATTTTTTTGCACCCAGAATCCATTATCTAAATTATGGATAGTTCTGAAATGGTGGAGCATAAGTGATTTCTTATAACATCAAGTCAAAATGAAATTGAAAGAAAATTACTCACATAATTAATTACCAATTTTTGGATAAATATCTCACAGTACGTAAAAGTTCCAACATATTAAGAGTTAGCACATTGTTTAATTATGTTTAAATAACAAGATTTGTTTTTGAATTACAAATTCGAGTAATATTGGTTCAAAAATTAATGAATCATTCAGTGATTACTCATTTTTAACCGTGGTTTTATTCCAGATTACAAACAAAAATGAAATTGTCATGAATAGGACAATTATATATACTAAAAAATATGTTAATTACATGTAACTACCAGACGATCAACCTCAGAAACAACAGAAAATATTAACTTATTTTTAAAAAATAGATCAAAAAGAGTCCTAAAAATAATTTAATAAACACAAGCACTATACTAACCTCATCAACATTGTAAATAATTTTGTATACTCCTTTGATAGTTAAGGCACCATATTTTGCAAGCACTCGATCAATTATTCCAATTCTCTCCAATTCCTTCGAAACTTTTTCTTCCGTAAACACTGGCTGCTCACATACGTCACTCATCTAAATCTAAATCTAAATCTAAGTTACTGCATAAATCTCAAAACCTACTGTAATAAGGTCCCAAATTTCAATACAGTAAAATAGCGCGTGTTTGATTGCACATGAAAATTCACGACAGAACCAAAAATCCTACTTCGCCAATGTAGAAGTGAATATAGTGAGCTAGTATATGACACGCACTGAAAACACAATCGTCTCATTAAAAAAGCAGAAGCTTTCCGAGTTTGCAAAAAGATAGATAAAGAAATGACAAGCATATCACTGAGATAGTTATGCAGGGATGGTTCTTGAAATTCACTTTTACTTTCATACTTCACCATCTCATGTATCTAGATAATTTTGACAGATACATTTAGACAAGAAACTTGCGATCCTTTCCACCAAAATTGAAATCAGAATCAATTCTTCATGATCTCTTCAACAATACTGAAGTGGGAGCAGTATATTACCAAACTTGAATCACGATTAAGAACATTCATGTTCCAATTCATGCTAACCTCTTACTTTTTTGTCCCAATCACAGATATTTTACAAGTAGTATGTGCTTCCATAATTTCTATTCCTAACAGTAGTGAAAATGAAGTCTAGAGTAGGGTGACTGACACTTAATCAGTACCCTGCAAAGGACCAATTAGTTCAGATTTCTCAATTTGTCTTGAAGAGCTTGCAGATAAACTAATAGCACTAACCAAAACTAAAGCAATGCTTTACACATTTTCAGCACGTGCCTCCTGTGATGGTGATATTTGTAATCACAATATATTCAACGGATTTGAAGGACCGCAGTAGTCAGGAGAAGTCAATTTTGAGTGGGGAATAAATAATCCTCGAAACAAAGACAGAGCACTACTGTTTTGTGCAAGGGACGCCAACACTTGTCTAACAAATCCATTGTGTCCATAGATTACATTTATTCCATGGTACACCCAAAATTACTCGATCTACTTTCCACTTTGAAATAACGTGCCATTATGCCCAGTTGTTTGAAAGCCAGTAAAGTTAAACTTATACAATCCATCTCCATCATGAACAATTACATTAAAAAGTGTCCTACGACGTTCATGAGATCCCCTAGCTTGCTGGCAGCTGAATCTTTTACATACACAGTTGCACAATTTAAGTGAAACATGCATCATCCCTTATTTCCGATATTTATACGTACCAAATATTTCGAAGAGAAAAACTTTAATGTCAAAAGAAAATAAAAACCAACACATTTGCGAGCAACTGATCACGGATCAAATGAAACATGAGATTTTAACTAATAGATATTTCAAATTTCTTTACTATTAAATTCATGTAATAAATACGACCGATACCATGATGTGAATAAAAATATTTCGAAGAGACAATAGAAATTATCAAGGGAAAGGAAAGGATCACTGAGAACTGCAATAAGTTAAAATTTCTACAGAAAATTTTCTGAAGAAAAAATTTGTAGCTATTTGAAATGAAAAATGCCCAAAATGATTATTTTAATTTCTTATGCAAAAAAATTGAGAATGCGATCTGAAGCAACAAAATCTTGATGACTGTCGTATGTAAATTTTACCGACGAAATCCGGATGAAACTTGAATTAACGAGCATAATCATATCTATAACTGTAAACGTATTATAATCATATTTTAAATATTGAGGTACGTGTTGTAATCAATAAAAACAACAATTGAGAAAAACTGAAATAGAGGAGTGAATTTCATGAAATATTCAAAATTAAGCATGGTGTTTTTCAAGATCATTTTTTAGATAACAAACAATATATTTTTATAATGAAAAAACAAAGGGCATTTACAGCAGCAAACAAAGATGTAATGAGATTTTGATTTCATGATGGCGCATCAGCTTCCTTTACTCTCGATGTTAATAGCGGATCACTGAATGAAGAAGAATCTCCAGAAAAACGTTATCTTAATTTGATCTTCAACAAAAGTTACTGGATAAAAACCAGTCTGCAGAAAAACATTATATTAATTTGATCTTCAATAAACTGCATCTTCCAATTTTTATGAAATGCTTTTTAAATTAAGTTACAGTTATTTCAAATGAATCTTGATTAACACTCTCATGCTTCTCGTTTTGTTTTTGTAGCATTTTCCTCCTCATCTTCATGTTCATATTTCCGTTTCACACCTTTTGGAGTGCTAGCTTCGTCTGTCTCTTCTTCATCACTTGGAGCAAAATCTTCTGTCTCATCTTCATCCTAAAATAATTATAAATGAAGACATATTTTACGAAAGTTAAACAAAACCTCTCCGCCTACATCTTCCTCTTAAGCACCAAATCCGTTTCGTTAAACTACATACAGAGAACTCGTTCTCATTTTACCTATCCAAAAACATTCATGGGGCATCTCCAACATATTTACCTAGATTTAGTAATCTGCCTTAAAATCTATTTATGAAATACCTATTAAGTTTATATAGCAGCATATAGAAGGCACTTATGTAATGAATTCGATTAGCTTACCAGGTTATAATTAATCGTAAAATAATCACCTGCATAACAGTAGAACCTTGCAAATAATCCAAACCAACTTCAGAATCTTCCTCATCACCATTACCTTCATCATCATTATCACTGTCAACCAAAACCTCTCCGCCTACATCTTCCTCTTCGTCATCAATAGTTTCTTCCAAAATCTCGCTGTCGGATTCCGCCTCCTCATCTTGAACATCATATCCATCAAGATATTTCAGACTTGTTATCATCTAAAAAAATATTTATAATGAACTTCACAGAAAAAATCCCTAAAACATAGGAAATGAATGATAAATACATGAAATGAATACGCTTCCAGTATGAGCATGCCTCCTAACTGAACTCAAAAACCACATTACACTTGTAATGCATATATGATATAATACTGCACCATAAATTAATTATCCTAAGTACGATTTTCAACAACGATTTCTCTTGTTGCCAAATAAACAAACCTCAAACACATTTTTTCTGTAGTCCTCAGCTGCAGCCAATTCACAACCAAAAAGGTCTAATGACCTCAAAACTTCAAGTTTTTTAAGTGGTTCCAAAGCTTCCAAAGTGCTGATTTTATTGCCAGCTAAATTGAGATATTTTATATTTGGACAGCATAAAAGCTGATCAAGATTACCAGAAATTCGATTTTCCGATAAATCCAATCGCTGAAGAGAAGGTAATGCTGGCAAGCCCTGAAATTCCAAACAAGGTATTTTATATTGTTAATGTAACCCAATCACATATACGATTGGCTGGAAAAAATTTTAAAAATAGTCAAAATTACACTACACATAAATATATTACTTTCAATGATGTCAATCCAACATTTATCATTGACAAGGTTTCCAAGCTAGTAAATTCTGTTGTGAGACCGGTGACAGCTGTCGCTCGACAGTTATCGAGGTTTAACTCCGTAACTTCAGATCGATTTCGACCTCTTAATTCTAATTCAATACGTTTATCCATCTAAAAAAATATTCATATATTCACTTCTAAAAAGCTCTCTGACACAATATCGCGCAAGCAAATATATCAGAGTCATGCTTTCAAAGTAAGGACTGCTAGAACAAATTTTAAAAAAGCATTGCCCATCCAGCAAATTATGTAACACGAGCTGATGTTGGAATGTCTTAAATAATAGGAACACTGCTATTATACGATCAATGCAATACCGTCATCAGATAATGCAAGGGACAATGCAATTTTATTGAGCTGATGAACGCAAATGTCTCTAAGAATGAACTACCAATTAATCTAATTCAATGATAACTGACAACACTCAATAATATCGGTAACAAATGCATGAAATGCGTGAAATTGTTGAAATATACAGCTGGAATACGCTCTTTTCTTTGTGTTCAGTTTTCAGTAGGAATTGTAAATTGAATAATAAATAACATTACCGGTCAAGGACTAATAAAATGCATGGAAGTAATAAGAAAAGCTCTTCAATGCACTCAAGAAATAGAATTCAACTTTTCTACCTTAAATCGATTACCTTGCGGATTTCTAAAATCACTGTTGGCTAGTAATTTCGAGTGAACTACTGACGACGCCTTATTATCTTTTACCAGCACAAATTTCAACTCACATATCAATTTTTACTTTTCCTTTACGCTACGCGCATAGCCAGCCAATGAATGCAATTCATAGGTAAGAATAAGAGAAAATGAGAGGTTGCACAGCGCTGACTCACAATATAACGGACCGTTTTCTTACTCAGTTATTGGACGCATAGGAAAAGAATGAAATAAGAGAATGCTAAAAAAGATAGACTGCATGGCGGAAGGAGTGGTAGACATAGGGAAGCACGAAGTATATTGCATGGCTCTCAGTAATACCCTCTACCATCTGCTGAAGTGATGATTCTGACCCTATTGATTAATGTGATGGGGAACTGAGTAACTGTGACAATAGCTGTTAGAATATAGGAGATTCATGAAAATAAGACACTATTACCAGAAATATGGGATACCTAACAGTATCTAATGATTTTCCTGCAGCCTACAAAACATAAACAACAAAATGTAATGGTCTTCATGAGAAAGACGAAGGAAGTTACACATTTCCGAGTTTTCAACCAACACAGTACTTTTATAGACTGGATGAACATTAACAAATAAGTGACTGCCTACATCTTTCACTTCATTTATCCAAGTGTGAAGTTCTATTGTAGGGACAATTAAGATGCTGGAACACATACAGCACGAAAATGGTGGCTTATAACGATATGAACGATGGGTTTTGGTGCGAAACCGAGAAGAGCTAGAATTTAAAAAAAAATAGATTGAGCAATGTTTTCAGTGAAGAAATAAGCAAAAACTTATTTCGCATCGGAAAAGTGAGGAATAATACTGAGGGAAAATATAGTCAGAATACTATGAAATGCACTGACTACTTGTATTGAGGGCTCAACACGTGGGATTCTATTTTCACATAGTACAGTACTTCCTAACAAACTTGCTCTAGAATAAAAAAAGAAAAAATGCGCAGTATTCAGAAATAAGTCTGTTAATTAATACATAAAAAGACATATAGCAGCTCAGTAATTTAGAAAGATTGCTTTCTACAATATAAAAATTAGCAATCCAAATTTTTAAATAACAGGAGATTAGAATGCACCATGTATTATGAACATTTTGGCTTGACGTAAGGATATATACTTACGCCTCGTTTATGAAATCAAACTTAATTAAATCATTAAAAATATGTGTGGCAGACAAAAACAGTTACAGATCAAAACATGACAGGAGGAAATCTTAGATGACATATAATTACTCGAAAATGGATACAAATAATAGAAATTCACTACTTGGAGCAATTATTTACACGAGAGTTAATTCGGCATTAAATACTTGCATCTGATTCAATCTGCACATCTAATATTTGATCCAATTCGATTTTTGAGATGTGTGCACAACTCTATGCCCCTAAACCTTAAACTAACATTTCAATAATAAACAGGAATGAAGGCAATACAAGCCCGCACACCACGAGAATAACACAGCCCATACGCAACACTCAACCTCGACACGACTGCATCAATCCATCTCTTAATGAAAACCATACATCTCAATCGATGAGAGAGTAATTCGATGTAAAATTTGGCTACAAATCAAAGTAATTCCGTGTTGAAATATTTCTCAAGAGTTGCAGCTCTAATTTTTTTGTAAAAAATTTGATTTAAACGATAAAAAAATCACTTCAAGGTAAGTTTCGTTATGTTGTCTTTCTGGAGAGCACGTCACGTGTTGTATTTACTTAACATGTGGAAACAATCCTATCATGTATCACTACATTTTTGGATTTTTTGCATTACGGTTCAAAAATATGTCATCTTGAATTATTCTACTTGAATTTTATTGATTTTGCTTTGTTTTAGTAATTTCTACCACCATTATTTATTTAGAACAATTTTATTGATTCAATAGAATGTGTCGTATAGAGATGCAAGCGTTAAAACGTGTTCTTTCATCTTGAACAAATAGTAATCATTGTATCATCCAGCTCGGTATCCTAGACGTATTTCGACGTTTCTTCGTCATCTTTTTTGTGAATTCTCGTAAAATGCAAATTAAGCTCTGTCGTAGAATATTATATATGTAAAAATAATCATTTTTTCTAATTTTTGCAGTAGTTTTCGCTTATTTAATTTTTGCATGTCGTCTGCTTGAAATTACGGTTAGTATATAGTAAATTTGTAATTTTCTGCATAATAGCTTCTACATATAAACTTACGTACTAACAGTAATGGGATTAACCTTCAAAATCCACACTACAATAAGATAGTTGCGTAATATAGCTAACATATTTATTTGAAATACGCTCATGTTGATCAGATATCCTTTTAAAAACTGCCGTTGCTGCATAGGAGTATTTATTTAGCTTTTATGAGTGAAAGAGTCAATGTAATGAGATAGAATGAAGGATTTAGGAACTTTGGTTGAGTGCAATTTCCATTCTAATTCCTGTAACACTACCTTTTATCTACGTAATGTAATTTCTCCAAAAGCTTAACTTATTCAAATGAACCAATTTTAATATTCAGCAGTTTTATCATGTTTCTTTTTCAATCGAACAATAACGTTCGTTGTTGGTCGGTTGGCCTTGTTTGGAAATTTCAGTTTTAAAACTTAGAGGAGTATGAAAATTAAATTGAATTTTTTATGGCTATGAATGCAAATTTGCAAATATGGCCTTTTGGTTTTAGGTTCACTAACCACTTTGTCGGCAGTCATTCCATTTGCAGCTCATACGGGTAATTCTTCCTGCTGCTTTGGCTGCTGGTGTTACTCCAACCTATTTGCAGTGGAATTTTTCGGACCAGGTTTGTAAATGAAGCAATTTTAGTTTTCTAGTAAATTACCATAAAAGTAGTATAACTTATAGTTTGGTTCTAAAATTTAGGTTGAATGTCTTTGCGAAGTTACCTTTTTCTTCTTAAAAATTTTAGTCTTTTCTTATTATTGTGTACTTGTTGGTTGTAATTTTAGCTCTTGCTCTGAAATTAAGGTATAATTAACTTTTGAAGTTCATTTATTAAGGTTGTTTTGTTTTGTATAACGAAATTTTAATTGTTATTTGTCGTTCTAACATGATGAATCTTGTTGAGCGATAAATTACATAGTCGCTCTCAGTGCTCTTCACCAGTTATCGCCTCCGTTTTTATTTTGTTTTTGTTTTTTTGACTATTTCGTGCTAGAACAAATGTAGCAGTGTTATGATTTTTTTGTTTTTGTGGCAGATACCAAAGTTATGCTAAGAGGTTAGTTTGAAGGTAGACGTTCAAATACTGCGTAACAAGTTAATTAATTGTTAAGATTGAAGAAAATATAGACCATTCCTTAATGAAACGAGAGCACAGGTAAAGTTTTTGTCTAAAGATGTAAAGCTTTTGCCAGATTTTAGTGTTTATAATAATTATTGTATGTTTTCACTTCTCTACTTCCTGACTTAAAAATGTGCTCATTTCAGGATCTCTTTATTTCGTCTAATGCCTTCAATTCTTATTTTCTAATTTCATTAAGAAAGCTGTCATTGTTAATCATTGTCTTTTCATTATGTCGCAATGGGCAAATCTTTCCATATTAATATATTCCAAATTAATTTCATTTTCTTGTTGCAGATGTCCAGCTGCATAAATGAATTTCAGATTTTTCAGTTTTTGAAATTAAATCCAATGATCCCCGAACATTTGGAATGGAATATACGTCGTCGCGAATTGAACTGCAAGTTTCTCAATTTTCAGAGAAGAGTTATTGGAACTAGGAATTTCTTGGATCGTCTAGGTCTTAGTAAAACATTAAGTGTTAGTGCTTCATGTTAAACATTTTTTGAATTCATTTTTTTAAACAAAAATCAAGAATGAATTATATTGGCATTATCTATATTCATGACTGTGTTTCAATGATTGAAGTTTTACTACTGCAGGGTCATGAAGGATGTGTGAACTGCTTACAGTGGAACGCAACTGGAAGGTATGGCATGAGCTTATCTGTTGTATAATTTGATGAGAGGAATCATATTCGAATAATATTGTTCAATGTAATGTTTTTGGTAGTTTCATTCATTGCAGTATATTAGCAAGCGGTTCCGATGATTTGGAGATACGTTTGTGGAATGCTGAAGGTAAACCATTATGTCGTATCAAATCAGGTCATATGAGCAACATATTTTCGGTGCAATTCCTACCAAGTGGAAAAGACGACATATTAATAAGTGCTGCAGGTAATGAAAATCATCAATTTGACGTGCTTTGAAAATAGCTGTTGTAAGTTCAGAGCGTTATGGCCGTATAACATCATCCAAATTTTATCTCCCTTTCCTATGTTTCAGGTTATTGAGATCCAAAATATTAAGAGAATATAATTTTTGTCTCGAAAGATGGTATTTGGTAATCTATGATTTGTTTTTTGACCTTATATATTTGACTCTTATTTTGTGTCAGTGATTTATATTTCTTAACAGAAAGATATCAGTTTGATGCTGTTAGTCAAACATAGGTAGTGCAAGCTATGCATAATTTTCTGACTCCCAGGTGATAACAATGTACGTATGCATTCAATTTCGCAATCTAGTGTGCCTTACATATGGTGGTCTGGAGGGCGTGTGAAGCGTTTGGCTGTTACTTGTGCTGATCCATTTCTGTTTTGGTCTGCTGCAGAAGATGGCTACATCAAGTAGGTGCTTTACTAAAAAATTCCGATATTTCTTATCTCCAAAAATCAGAAGGGAACTGCAAAAAATTAATCATAAAACAAGCACACAAGAAAGAGTTTTTGAGTCTTTCTTTTTTTCAAATATAATGATAAAGACGTGTTTTTTAGGAATTTAATTATATCTGTCGTTTAATCAAAATTTAATCTAATAGGCTGTGTATGGTTGTTCATGCATGTATTTAAAATATAGGCAGTATGATGTCCGGACTGCAAAAACCTTAGATTTGATCAAGTTCGATAACAAAGAGTGTAAATCCTTGGCTATCAATGAAAATCGTCCAGAAATGATAGCTGTTGCTCTTAATGAAGCTTCAGTACCACTCTATGATCGACGGAATACTTCAACACCATTATCTACTCTTATTCCTGGTATTTTATTAGCAGATGACTTATTTCTCGACATAAGTATCACTTGATATTAGCACCGATTTGGGGAATTATTTTAGGCCACATTCCTATCTCTGATCCATCTTCACGCAATGCATTCAGAACACTTTCCGTGACACATGTTGGTTTCAATTCATTAGGCAATGAACTAATTGTAAATATTGGTGGAGAACAAATTTATGTATTTAATGTCTTAGATAGGTATGCTTAAATTTTTGTTCCTAACTTTATTTTTGATAGATCCTTTTAAAGTGTGTTAAATGATTAATGCAGAATTAATTTTGAGGCTTAAAACTTAGTATTTTTTAATCTTCGCAATTAATCATAAGCTACTCAGCTGAAGATGTAGCTTATGATAACCGAATAATATGCATAGGATTCGTGTCAGAATAGTACTCCGGATATTAATTTATTTGTATATGTACTTTAACTTCTAGGAAAGTTTGATTTTATAGCGATTCATAGTGAATTAGACTCAAACTTGTTCGAAATTTGTATTTTCATTAGTAATTTAGTGAAGCAGCATGAATTTTTTTACAGAGTCCATGAACCTGATGTACTGCAGTCTCTCAACAGTCTGTTCGATGATTCTAATTCTAACTCTTGCTGCGAAGGCAGTACTTCTAGTAATAATGACGTTTCATTATTAAATTTCAAAGAGGAGCGTGAACAAGCAAAAATTCATTTCAATAATAAAGAATATACAGATGCGATCGACACGTACAGTCGTGCTATTCTGGATTGTCAAAAATTATGTGGGTCAGTTAGTAGTCATATATAGTTATGATTACAGTGAATGTTCATTAAAATGGTAACCAAAATACAGGAATATATATATATACTCACATATATATATATACTCCTGTACCTTGTAGCACATAAATATATATATATATGTGCTACAAGGTCTCACTGTACTCACCTGGCATTCTGTTCTGCTTGGTTTCTGTACAGTGGTCGAATGCTTTCTCATATCCTTCATGGACCTTTCTTCAATAGAGAACTGTGTATATATAGCTATATATAATATATACATTCATTAAACGATGAAGGTTAATCTTTTTTTTCTATTCCTTGCTTCGTCCTCGTCGAATCTACGGCAGTAATCGGCTGAGATCCTTCCGAGCATCTTTCTAATCATTATCCATTGATTATATTACTCGATGTTATCAGATACCCTGATTCCCTTCGCTCAGCATTTATGGAAGTTCGTTACTATCCCATTCCAAGTCATCAAATGCTGAATTATACCATCCTAAATTTCATCTCCGACGAAGTTTATGAGCGATTGCCATACTTTCGCCTTTTCTCAGTCTCGATTGCTGTCAAACTCTCATAATTAGTGACGTCAACCTCCATCAGGATTACTTCATGTCATTTCTTGTGGTCCGCCTGTCGATCCGCACTTTATAGCTGTTTTAACACCCCTACCGATTCTTATCTCAACATGATTACTCGTAACTATTTCCTGAACAGAGTTGCCTCGTATACGTGAAAATGCTTTTGGACCATAGAGTTCTTCATCAGTGAATTTTCCACTGCATTTTCTTTTTCATCATGGTTTCTCTATTGTTTTTTAATACTACTGTTTATATGGAGTTGTTGCTTCTCAGAACTGGTTGAGCCTTTCACTACACTTAATCAGGTAATTGTATTAACTAGATCGAACGCTTTTTTGACGTTATACCACGTAGTATGTAGCTGATTTCTATGCTCCCTGCATATCTCCAGGTTCAGTAGTCCTTGCTGTTTTGCGCCTTCAATCTGTGCAACAGTTCCTAATTAGTTGTCCGCAAGTAGTCTCTTCGTGGCAACATCCAATTGCATGACATGCGCCACACATTTAATCGTCAACTTATGAAAGCTTGACGTGCAAGTTATTGGCTTGAAGTCGCTACCTTCTCTCTTGGAACACTTTTTTGAATCATGTAGACAGTTCCTGTGTGCAGGAATGAGTGTTGTTGCTTTTCATCCAGGCAAATCATCTTTCTCATTTTATGCAGATCAGGATGCAGAAGATGTACGTGTTAATGGAAGTGCAGATCCTATCGGGACCCACCTCCTTCCAGTTGGATGAATGAGTAACCGTCTTCCCGAATTCAGCTTCCGATGAGTAATTACAATACTTCATAATCTGCAATAAATTTTCCACGCATTCGTTGTGCCAAATATCACCAACCTCTCCGATCTTCCGAAACCCACATCAGATCTCTAAAATCCCTGATTTCTTTTGTCCCTCTATTGTAGATGATAGGCTGTTCTTCAGTCACTTTCCTATCAAATCGTTTTCTCAACTGCTCAGATCTGACGCACATGGGGGCTTGTAACTCTTTAGTTTTATCTTTGTACACTCTTTCAATTCTTGAAGATTAATCGCACACACGAAGTTCTCGCCGTACAGTTCGAGGCACAATGGCCATCCTCCTTTCGACGTTCTTTCGAAATGTTCAAGACCTCTTTCGGCATCTTTCCTAGCCATCTGCTTTTTCTTCAACCTTTTTTTTCTTGTCACATTTTTCCATCCTCATTGCAAACCAACTCTGCATTCTTCTGCTTTGGGGTTTCAACGTTTTCAATAATAGTCTACCTCTCTGTTCATATCATGCTTATCTCTTTTTCTTTTTCCTTTGCTTTCCTTTATCATCCATTAGATAACTGATCTGATTTATTGCTAGAATTTTCCATCGTATCACCTTTTTTGAATGTTGGTACCCATAGTTTTTATTACTGCAACTGATCGCACTGGTGCTTTCACAATTTGCTTTCATAGTACATCGTAATTTTTCCATAAAAAGTAAAAGTTGAACAAAAATAAGAACCAGAAACAGAGAATGAATAATATGCAATTTCGCTTCGAAATGATATACTTTGCCTGATCAATATGTCTTGAAACTGTATATGTATATATATATATAGTTTCAAGATATATTGCATATTTGAAGGACAAGATCAATAGTTTCGTAGTTTTGGTACCAAAAAAAAACATATAAAATTTAATCTTCAAAACGTGGTGGTATTATAGACACGATCCACCTGATGGCCATCCTTTTTCGGCGGATCTATGCTTACTTTTGGCAAATCGTGGAGCGAGTTACTTGAGAAGGTTGTGGGATGGTGATGCATACGCTGCTTTAATAGATTTGACACGGGCTCTGAGAATTGAACCTGCGCATACTAAAGTTCATTATCGAATAATGAAAGCATTGATTGAATTGAAGCAATATGATATGGCAAGAAAAGTCTCTACACTATTTAAGGTTGGTTTTTACTCAACTATAATCAGAAGCTTGTAATTTTTGGGTATATTTTCTTAGAAATCTGAATTTAAAACGCAGAAATTAGATAATGTAATTTGGTGGTTGCAATTTAAATAAAACGGAAAAAGAGATTCATTTTTTTATCAAGCAGTGTTCCAGAAGAAATTCCCGAATGATCAGTCCTGTAAAAAGCTTGATGCTCTCCTACGTGCAGATCCTGTTGGGCAGAAAAATTGGACTTCGAATGGTTGTGCAGATTATGTTCAGCGCTTATGTGGGCACTGTAACACCAATACAGATATCAAAGTATATTATAAAGATGTTCGTAATCGTTTTCGTTAAAAAATTATCTATATTTTTGAACTGATTTAGGAAGCTGTTTGGTTTGGTGGTAATGATGAATATATTGCCGCAGGCAGTGATTGTGGTTCATTACTGATTTGGGAAAGAAATTCAGGCTCTTTAATAAAAGCTTTCGAAGCAGATATGAACATTTTAAACTGCGTGCAACCGCATCCATCAACTCTATTGCTTGCAACTTCTGGGATTGAATCTGTAATACGCTTTTGGCAGCCATTATCTGAGGACTCCCCTAAAGTTTGCTTTATTTTAGAAATATATACTGCGCTTTATTCCAGTTTTAATTGACTCCAGAAAACTTTTTCAAAGCATTCGAATCTTTTACTTTTTTGGTTTTTCAGCTTTTTCCTCAGTGACCTCCATATAAGTGATTTGAATATAATAGAAAAATGAGCAGACTTACATCAAGTTTGAACGGTTTTTCAGTTCTCGAATCATTTTGATTTTTATTTTGGAATGATCATTTTTTCTTGCGGAGTTTACTAAATTTCAGAATGATTAATTTTTTTCCAGAGTTTATTAAATATGGAATGAAATAGGTTGCAATTTTATAATTTCGATTGACGTATATTTTTGTGTTTCTTAGGATGCAGTAAAAACAGGACGTGAATTACGGAGACTCACTAAATTATCAGCAACTAATCAAAAACGAATGCATACAGGTATATTTGATATGGTTGTTGCATCAATTGGATTATCAGCAGAAAGAGATGATGATGATGATGAACATGTGACACCGATTGGTTGCAATACAAGTTAGAACAGCTCATTAAATGCTCTACTCCTGAAGAAGATTGTCATTCGACTGGTCATATCTTACTTGTCAGTCATGGAGTTCAGGAGATTTGTTGATGTGCCATATACAATTTGTGATACTAGTCTCTGTGTTTTTTCTCACCCACCTGATCTTCAAAATTTCAAGGTTCACATAGTTAGGAAAAAAAACGTAAAATTAAGTTAAATGAATATTGAAGGGCATTTTTTTTCTGTACGAAAAGAAGTGTCGTAGAACTTTCGGAAATAGTTTAAGTTCCATCTTTATTATCCTCATCATAAATAGAAAGAATTCGAAGGGTTTTTTTATTTTTTTCGTTCGAAAATTCTTTTGCATTTCAGATTTTGAGACTTTCCGAGGGTTTTTAACTTTATCAGGTCCTAAGCGTAAATCACAAAGATAAATTACTGTAAATAAATGTATTCAGCAATATTTTTCTTGTATATATAACGATGTATAATAGCTAGTGGCGTGCTGTATGAACTGTCTTTTACGTCTGTAGCGTAATATATTTGGTTTCCCGTTTTTTAATTATGCCTTCAATTAAAAGATGAAAAATATTCATTGCCAGACTGGGTTATGAGTGTAGCTTCATGTGTTTTGTCACAATTTACTGCATACATATAATGTTCGATGCAAATATATTGAGTTAATGTTAAAAACTAGTGAGAAATGCTCAAGAATTTGTTCAGTGTAGGATTTTATTACATTGCATACATGAACTTCTATTTGTTTGTTGCCATTTGATTGTTCAGAAGAACGTGGTCACTTGTAAGAAAGTTATCTTGTAAGAAGTGGGTAGCTTGTGCGAAGCAGAACAAAAGTACGTGTGGAAATGAATGGTTACACTCATTCCTTGTTCTGATCTCGAAATACTAAGGGTTAGTCATTTGATGTTGTCTCCGCAGTTCCCATGGTCGGGGCTTCCTTACTTTTCAGGTTTTTTCAGTGACTGATCATTTTAAAAAGCATTAAAAAAGCAAAATCAGGCAAGTAATTTATCATTGGAATACGTTACTTGTCAGATTTATCGGGATGCGTGACTCATGCTTGTCAAATTCATGTTTTGGTAAAAAATTCATTCTTTTACTGGTTAAAATTGAGCTGACAGTTCGTACTGTGAAGTTTGAAATGAATATTTGACCAAGAATTTTTTGCACGTAGCAGAACATCTGGCGAATGAGACAAAACAGCAGCATTAAATGCAAGTGAAATGCATAAGTAATTGGTGCAAACATCATATCTTTAGGAAGTATATTTATCAGCGATCCTTAAGTCATCTGTACTGTTTAAGAAATCCTATAAATTGATAAGCTTTACTATCTGAATTCAGGAAAAAGGCAATCTGGTGTGCAGCGCTCGTTCGGGAATAGCACGAGTCAGTACAAGCCAAATTTGGTACCAATCACACATTAGCAATTGAATATATGAGTTAAAGGCCAAAAAGATTACTGAAATATGAATGCATTCGCATTTCAGTGGGTAATATGCTAGCTTCCCTCTTTCATGGAAATGCTTGCTTCCTCTCGTATGAATTCTGATAGTACTGACAGCCTGCATTGTAGTTTTGTAATGAAAGGTTAAGACGGATTGAAAGCGAAAAGTAGGAAATGAACTGCTATGCGCATAAATTGTCAGGCTGTCTCCTTAATGTCGTCATCATCCTTTCAATTTCCCACTTTTCTCAGCAGAGGTCAGGTAAGGTAGCAGTCTCTAATGCATATAATACCATTTTTCATGTCTTCTATCTGTCTCATCCATATCTGTCAAGTTCAAGTAGCATAAAGCAATATTATACATCTGCTCCCTCTCGTATTTCTGAGCACTGAACATGACCATCAACAAAAGTACGCTGTACTATGGTATCGTTCTAATAGCTACCACACATGTTCACGTATCATTTTTATCAATACAATATTTGAACTTTATTTTGATTCACGAGAGAAAATGCTTTAATAAGGAAATAAGTAAACTTGAGCGGAGAGAAGAAAAGGACTGGTAGCGATCAGAAGTTTATTAACCAGTACTTGAGATGGGGTGGTAAGTATGCTGCATTCATTTGTAGATCAAAGATACAAATTCATGATTACAGTCGTCTTTATATGTTATGATCACTCATTGCTTACATTTCCAGTTTTTATTTATTATCTGCACCCTTTCTCTTTCATGTGATCAGCGTTACCGTTCGTCTACAAAAGCTGCTAGTTCGAGACTGACCTCATCAAGAACAGATATGCCCATTAATGATGTGTTTAACGTAAATTGACAAATCAGTGAGTGAGAACAGTCCAAAATGCTATCTACTAATTATCCATTTTTGAAACGAAATAGAAATGAAGAGGAATGCAATTGTATTTTGTTCTGTGGAATAATTGTAACAAGCTATATACGAAATAAACAGTCATTAACTGCCAAGTATGGATGTAAATTTGCATTTGTAACTTCTTGACATTGTTCCAAATTGACATGCATCAGGATTGCAAAGATATGGCTTTCTTCGCAGAAACAAACTAATACGATTATTAGCATATGGCGGAATTCCATGGTACTGACCTTTAACTTGGTAGCTTATTGTAGGATTCCAGAGTACTTGTAGTGTATCAGAGTACTAGACTGGCCCAGCTGCTAACAGCGCTACATTAGTCGACTGAGTTGTGAACACCATCGTATTGACCTTTTCTCCGACCTTCACATATCACGTTCTCTGTGGTGCATTTACATTTGGAGTGGAAGAATGAGCATACTCACACTATCCCTCTTGCACACCTGCACTTGTGCATCTGCCTATTTGTCGATGGTGCGAAGAATTTATCTTCTTAGGCTGAGCATCTATGAAACGCACATGCTATCAGTTATGTATGTTTGTATCAGACTCCTTTCTCTTTTTGTATGCTTAAATGCACATTTGTTTGTTTTTAACGATAGAACATTATGACGTTTTACAAGTCCATTGTAATACTTTGAATGGATATTATCAAAACAGGCTGGAAAAATCATTTACGAAGCACCTGCATAGTAACTCTACAGAAGTAAATGGTTGAAATTAGACTGGAAGCTGAAGCTTTTAGCTGGTTGAGTATCAGAAAAGTCAAGGTAATTTAGAGCTGATAGTGGCAAGAAGAAATCACTGCTGCTAATATGGAAAAGTCGGATTTAAAACTTCACTCGTGTCAGGGTACTTCTAACTCGAAATTTGTTACAACTTTGTAGTAGTGATAACGTTTCTGATGGCTTTAAGTTCAGCTTGATTTTGACTCTAATCCATTTTACTGATGTGCACACAGTACACTAGAGATGCAAGCTATGAAGTGTTGTCCAGTTACTAACTTTGACAATTATTTACTGTGTCATTGGAGCTTCAGTTTAATCATTTATTGATTTTACTGAAGCTACCAACATACTCTGGAATGAATTTAACTAATTAATTAGGTATATTAGTTTATATTTTTATTATAATTGCTGATGAGAAATTGATAATAGTATGGTAGTAGGATATATTAATGTCAACATAACGGGTTGGTTGCATCGTATATAGATTAGGAATGCATTTTGCATAATTTGTTATTCATGAAAGTATTTTTATTAGAGTTTTTTGAAGTTGCGGCAGTTCTCGACCAAGCAATTCCTGAACAGAAGTCATCATTAATTGGTTCTGGTTTCTTGAAATAAATTGTTTTCACTGAGAAGCACTGAGAGTTTAGGTGTAGTAGAAGAAATTCCGAAATCAGTCTCTGAATTGAGAGAATTGTATACTTTGTTCACATCTGACTTTTATTTCATGCTTTGGTAGAGGAATCTGATTGAGCAGTCTCTAATCTAATCATCCTTATCCCTCTTACTGTTTGGAATGAGACGTCGGATATGACTGTTTCTCTTACCGTTTGTGCTCTGTGAGAATGAATTAACGCAATTTTTGAATCTCAATTTGCACGAATTATTCAAAAGGAGGAGGGAAATACTAGGCTCAAGAAAACTACGTATGACTTTATTTGTTTAGTAAAGTCAATTATATTTTGTCAAACAGAGCAAACTTGGTGTCAATCAATAAAAACAAAACGTTTGTAAGTAATATTTCATGGAGTTGACCAAACATCTATTACACAAACAGTTCACTTTGTCCGACGTCATCACGAAGCATATATATGGTAGTTTTCGGATGCTTAATTGCAGTTATTATGCAAGAATAATAAAATTAATAATGCAAGATTATTCGGCAAATTGAGATTTAAAAATTTGAATGAAGTGGTAATGCTTATTTGATTCAGTGTTAAATGTGACGAGCTAAGGAAAAGGCTAGCTAGAAGTTGCTGTGTGCTTCAGTGCAATAAAGTTTGTTTATTTGATGTATACGAGTTTTCCTTCCCCATGAATTAGTATTGAACCGTACTTCTGCCCTCCATTACTTGTGCCAACTTTGTACTTTGCATCTGACATTGACATCAGACTTTTTGATTTGCCACTACTCTTAATTCCAACCTTAAAAACTTATGAATTTAGATTCTTGAATCAGTTTGTAATTAATCTCTGATTGTGCTACGTTTTTGCCTCTTGATTCTTATGCCAAGTAATGACCCTTTTGCATACCCGAACAATCTATTATAGATTAATTTGAAGTCGCCGTTTCTTGATAATAAAAGGCATCTAAAGACCTACTCTTTAAAATGTGTTCTTTATAATCGTAATAAGCAGAACTGATCCCTCACCCAACGACATACTTTAAAAACTGTGAAGCTACAAATAAGAATATCTAAGCAATCCATACACTTTTTGCAAATTTTATTATTATTAATATTGTTATTATCGTCACTATTATTATTGACGCTGCTATTAGTATTAATAGTACCGGTAATAATAATGAAAGTAAAGGTATTATTGCCATAAATATCGTCCCTGTTGATACTTTCCTTGTAGTGGTATGTTGTTTGAGGAAAGCTATTTTAACCAAGCATGTCAAGTATTTCTATAATTCATCCTTCAGTCTGCACTGTTACAAACAGTTACGTTAGAGACATCAGCCCAGTCATTACCCTCCGTATCTTATAAGATATTTAATTAATGGTCGTACTTTCGACAATAAAATTTCGGTCTCTCAAGGAGAGATACATAATATGTCTTCAAACGGATTCTCGTCACATAACCTGTGTATTTAGAAAACTGAAATGAACACTAATTTATAAAGCAAAATGGATCGCCTTTCGCGCACTTTAAAGTAACGCTAAATTTATATGGAGCGATTCTGGCATACTAGAGATCCCTCGACTATTTCTGCACGTTCGGTAAGTGTTGTTTGCAGGAAATGACTCTGCTGTTCTTTGTCTTCATGAAGAGATCCCAAAATTCTCTCAAAATTGAAACGATGTTGTCAATTGCTGGCCACTGTTCTCCATACAAGAAATCACGGAAGAAATTTCTCCTCTAATTGGTCGTGTCGTCTGTCCCACTCTTTTAATTTCGTTATTCTTTACAAAGTCTCTGTGTGACACGAATATAGAAGTGCAGTCGCATTTTTAGTACGCGCCATAATAATGCTTCTACTCATTACAGGTATGTTTTATCACGTAGAGTCGTCTAGGGCACTTTTTGCGCAAAAATGACTATAAGGAGTACATATATGCAATGGTATGCGCGAGTTCACTCGAGAGAGTTTGTTAACGCGCACTGTTTTCTGTGTAAAGTCATCATTACTTTGTACGCACAGAATACTCATACCAGTGTGCACTGCACACGTATATACTTCCAATTTGTACAAATTCTTTCCAATGCAAGACTTATAGTTTACTTGAAATGGATAATAAGAGTAGATACTACGTTCTTACGATGAAAAGAGACGCACGCGGAGGTACCTCACTAATATAATTGTCATTCCCGAGTCATGTGCTCTGAGTTTCATAGCTATAGTTGGTGTCATTACTTTATCAGATTTGTGGCTCGATATTTCGTATATGGAAGTATTCAGAGCATATTACATTGCTAATATATGTGTCACTTTGGTTTCACACAGAGACAACTCGATGCAAAACATAGACGCACTCTCTCTCTATCTGCCCCAGCTGATCTGACATACGTTATCGATTATAAAGGTGGAAAGGGATTAATTTAATTTTCGTGGTTTCTGTTTATGAAGTACAG